GAAACCCAATGATGATTCTCATAATGACACCACCATGATTCTCCACCTCTGCTCTTTTGCAGACATCACTGGGCAGGGAGGGGAATCTGCTTGATGTCAAGAGAACCATTTTTCTTAAGGCCAGAAGACCTGCCCTGGTCTAGAAAGATCAATTCAGACAGGCCAAGCACACAGGAGGAAGACATGGGGAGCCCAGGCAGCACAAGAGAACAGAAGGTAGACACTTCTGGTGGTGCCGGGGGTTGAGGGAGGGCCCCACACTGGAAGCCTTCCCAGGACGAGGCACAGAGCTGCATGTGCTCTCAGCGTATTAGATGCACCCCACATGAGCTGCAGCCCTGGGCTCCTTGAAAGAGTTTGTGCCAAGCCCACCAAACAGGCATTGTGAAAGCAGCAGGGGCTTAGTGGGGGCTCCTGTCTTCTTTTCAAACACATCATCTCAGGAGGAAGACCGTAGAGACTTGATAAATGCAATGAATGATGAGAATGGAGGAAGTATGTAAAGGCATCCCTTGAGATGGAAGGGGGAAAGGAGTTTGGGGCTTTTGGCTCCCTTACCAGGCTTGTGTATCACCTTCACACAGAGAGAAATTCCTTGCTTAGTCAGTGTTCTGGATGCTGCCACTTAACCAGCTCCTTCCCACACATGGACGTGTTTTACTTGGTATGGTGGCATGCAGAGATGATGGGAGATGGCAACCCTGTAAAGGCAGGGTCAGAATATTTGGATTCTTTCCAAATCAAGGGGGAAAAAAATTAAACCTGTACTTGAGGGCTCACTGTCATCTGAAGGAGCCCCATTGCCCCCACCCCGCATCACGTGCCCAAGGCTGACACATCACTAGCTTGGGAAGTGATGGCAGAGGGAGTTCAGGGAGCTAGAAGGGAGAAGGGCAGTGGGCAGTTCTGAGCTGGTGGCTTGCTGTGGCTGCACTAACCCAGTCCTGGGATATAGACAGGTTCAGGTGGCTGCATGTGTGGGGGGGGGGAGGGGGAGGTGGACACAGATCTCTCTTCTCTAAAGAAGACAGTGCTTGGGGTCCATTGCTGTGTGGCGCCATCTTGTGCCCATTCGTGTCCTTTGTTCATCACTTTAGGGTCTTGGGCCAGCCAGTATTAATGAAGAAAGAAAGAGGTCTGTTTAGAATTTGTGCCAGGTGGCGGTAAGGATGGCAACATTGTGACTCTCTTGTCCCTTTCTGGGGACATTTCTGATCCTTTTCGATAGCTCACTGTCACAGAGCTGCCTCCATTTCTGCCTTTCTTCCCCTCGCCTTCTCAGCCCCACCCAAAGGCAGGTGACCTGAGACAGGTCCACATCCTTTACTGCAGAGAACTGCCTGCGACCCAGGAAAAAGTACCAGGGACAGCTCCCACGTGCAAAATACTGCTTTCTTTAGCTGGCAAATCCCTTTTGGATTCCTGCTGGAGAGATTTTTACCCTTTCTCTTCTGCTGACACAAGGGCCTGCTCCCCTAACATCCAGGATATCTGCTTAATGGCTAGCTCCTTTCTAAGCTCAGGAGGGCCTTAGAATTCTCCATCAGGTCCTCTGGACCAGCATTTGCCATTCTTTGGCCCACAGGAATGCCCATCGCTTTCTTTCCTATTTCTGGTGGATTCCATCTCTACATCTTGCCTGTGGGTCCCGGGTACTAAATGTGGGTACCAAAGACCAGCTGAAGTTGTAGAAGAATTGCTGGTGCAGACAATAATGGGCAGTAGAGGAAATTACACACGAGATCGAACAAGAGGCCAGTAGGTAGTCTGACTCAAGTGCAGTTATACAGTTAGGAAGCTTCGGCCAGGAGCTAGCTGCCATGAAGGCTGTGCCAACATCCCAGTGTACCCGTGTGCATGTGGCTTCCTTGCAGAATACATTTGACAGCAATTGATGACTCTGAAATATAGACTGCACTGTGAGCATAAGAGATGCCAGACAATTGCTCTGGATTATTCCATCCCAGACATCATTTTGCTGAAGTCAAGGACACTTTCCACAGAAACTAGAGGCCTTCTATGTACTAAACCCTGCTTTTTCAACAAGAATCAGATCTGCATCTTGAAAGTCTTCATTTCCTTCTGTGAAGTAACATGACATTGTATATGTGTATTATATATACATCTATAGATCTGTAGCTCCATAGATATAAAATGTATGTGTGTGTGTATATATATATATACACACACACACACACACACATGCATACACATAGACTTGCTGAAGTATAATTTAGGTTGAATGAATTTTGTGATTTATAGGATAGGGTTATTACTTGGTGCTTTTTTAAAATGGTGGTAAAATGTATATATAACACAAAAGTTGCCATCTTCTAGCATTCTTTTTTTTTAACTTTATTTTGTGTGCATTGGTGTTATTGCCATGTTATAGACAGTTGTGAGCTGCCATGTGGGTGCTAGGAATTGAACTCAGGTCCTCTGGAAGAGCAGCCAGTGCTCTTAACCTCTGAGCCATCTCTCCAGCCCCTCTGGCATTCTTTTCATCTTGCAAAACTGCAATTCTACACCAAGCCCATCATGGCTCTCCCCTTCCCCCGCCACCGTCCTGCTTTCTGTCTGCATGACTACAGCTACTGTAGGTACCTCATGTGCGTGTGGTCATTTGCTTGTCTTTTTGCCACTGGCTTGTTTTATTTAGTATGATATCCTCAAGATCTAGCTATGTGTCAGAATTTTCCTTCCTATGGAAAGCTAAATACCAAACGCCCATGTGTCGTATTAATAGCCATTTGGCTTCCATTCTGTGGTTATCCCTGCCATGGATAAGAATGTAAATACAATCCTTCAAGGCCTTCATTTCTAAACCAGGAGGGGGTGGGTGTAAAACACCTGTAATTCCAGCACTTGGGAAGTGAGGCAGGACAATCAGGAATTCAAGGCCAGTCTTGACTACATAGCAAATTCAAGGCCAGCCTGGGCTACTTGAGACAATATCTCAAAGGGAGAAAAAGAAAAGCCCCTGCTTATTGTAACCTGTGCTTTAAAAAAAAAAAACTGAATGAAGAAATGAGTTGAGAAGAATTATATTTCATATCATCATATAGTTCGCCTTTTTTGTCATCGTGTCTTTTTATATTCCTAGTCTGTTTTCTGATTCTATGATAAGAATACCCCAAACTGGGTGACTTACAGTGAAAAGAACTTTATATCACACAGTGAGAAGGCTAGGAGGTCCAATATCAACCTGATGCCATCTGTTGAGAATCTTCTTTCTGAGGCACAGTGTGGCAGAGCTCATCACTTGATGAGGGCCAGGAAGACCGATAGCTTAGATCTCTCTTCCTTTTATTATAAAGCCACTAGCCCCATGGTAGAGCTTCACCCATGTGATTTCAATTCTAATTACTTCTCATACCCACCACTACCACCATGAGCTCGAGCTTCCAAACACTATGAGCATATCGTCTGGAGGTTGAAGTTTCTACCACAGGAATGCTGAGGGATGCCAATTTCACCAGAGAGTGTCTATATGGCTTCTCAGCAAGTACCCACCCAAGAGTTTCTTCAGCAGTTAGCATACGGGTGCTTAGAGAATCACACGAAATAGAGTAACTAAATAGAATAACAGGTCAGCCCCCATCTCAATGACTACAACACTGATCACGGGCATTGTGCATTATTACTAAAACCACTATTCCCATCTCCCTACTCATAGGCTTGAAGTTCCAAGCCCTTCTGCAGGCCGAGAAGACACATGGCCCAAGGGGGGAAGTCTAAAATATCCAGCCCCAATCTGTTCCACGGCTGTGTGCCCAATGGCAAAGACCTACAACTAACATCTGTGGTCCTGTTTCAAAACCAGAATGGTGGCAGGGGATGACAGAGTTGCTAAAATAATTTCATGAACAACTTGATCAAAGAAATGATCTGTGAGCACATCTTAGAGAAGTGAGAGCCAGCCATGTGGACAGATAGGATTCCTCCCTGCCAAAAACAGCTTCTCTTTCATGCCCTACATTGTCTGCAGGCATGTGAGAGCCATATTCCCCATCATTTGGCATTCAAACAGCTAAGCAGCTCCACTCTCTCTGCTCAAAGATGATTGGGGAACTGGAGTGTTAGCTGTCTACCCTCCTGCCAGGAGAAAAGGGAATCTGGTTCAGAGACCAAAGCAAAACTTATTCATCTCATCTTTCAAGACCCTGAGATGCATTCCCCCACAGCCCCCCAGACACAGGGTCTTCCCGCATTAAAGAGCAGCTGAAATCAAATGCACATCCGTTACTGGAGAACTAGCAGGGGAGTGGGGCAAGGTGACAGGTTCTGAAGAGCGAATGCACACCTTTGTGCTCTTGCCTTCTTAAAATTCATTCTCTCACCTGCCAGTCTGGAGAATTGCCTATTTACATAACTAGCTGCCTAAAAAGGAATATTGGATAATGGTACATGGTGGCTCACTCAATTTGAGCCATCCTCAGGATGTGAGCATGATCCAGAAGCCCTCTGACAGCATGGCATACCCCCACACTGACCTGCAGCCATGCTTCATGTGGTGTGAGCCTGGCAGCTAAACAGATGTCAGGCCTGGATGGAGCCTGGGTGGGAGACTCTTCCAAGCAGGAGAATGGGGGAGGGGACCTGATTCCATGGTGGCAGGCTGTCTGCAGGGTGGCAGCCTGTCCTCCTGGGCTTCACAGTCAAGGCCTTGTTTTGCCCAAGGTACTGTGTCAGAAAGGGCCACATGTAGGGCCCGAGAAGTGGGGAGATCAGAGGATCCATGGGGGTAGTCGGCCTGGGGGGGGGTTAATCAGTGTGCTGCCATCCTGGGCACTGTGCCAGCCTCACCCCCCCCCCCCCGTTGGTCCTTTCCACAACACAAATCTCCCTCCCATTAAAACGGGAATCATGCTGCTCCCTTACAGGAGGAGTATAAATAAGTGATAAGGAGGTGTTCTGATAGCAACAGTTGGGTGTAGCTCCTCGGTGGACCAGATGTATCAAAGACGGCAGCTGTGCATGTGTGTTCCTTTATTTTTCAGCGTTCCAGTTCCTGTAGTCAGTTTAGAGAAAATTCCTAACCTAGTGAAGGCAGATGGTGCCAATGTCAAAATGAGCTCTACAACCACTACCACAACCACTTCCTCCTCCTCTGCTGTCTCCACCCCACCTTTAATTAAGCCCACCTTGATGTCCAAGTCAGTGCCACCTTCACCAGAGAAGATCTTAAATGGCAAGGGGATTCTTTCGGCCACCATAGACAAGAAGCACCAAAATGGCACCAAAAACAGCAACAAGCCTTACCGGAGACTTTCAGGTACGTGTGTGTCATCGTGGTTAGAGTCCGGCTCATGATAAGACTAAGACTGTAACCCATCTGTAACCCATGATGTGTTTGCAGAGTCAAAGAACTGTTTCATTTAAGGCTGATGAGAAGTGTATCTGGACCAGCATCTGAAAGCACCAGGGAGGACTAGTGCTCTCATTGCCCAGTGCAGAGATGATCACTGGCCAAGTTTCAAATTTGGCTAAAGTTATACTAGAAGTCCAGGAAGTGGGAGGCTCTGCATCAACCAAGAGTTGTAGACTCTGAGGGTTGTGTTAGCCTAGTGTCCCAGTACATGCACACCACACTGGCATGGCTCACCCTGAAGCTTCACTGCTGTGAAGCTGGGCTGTCAGTGGGACGCCTCATAGCCCATGACATGTTGGGTGGGACAACCCAATCAGCTACTGTGCGGCAGAGGAGAATTGTAACCTCAGCTCTTTGGTCTCCTGGTTTCTGGGTTGACTCTGCAGTTGGGGCTGTAGCTGCCTTCTCCACCCATAGTCAGGCTGGAATTCCCACTGGGAGCTCGCTTAGGTCATGACTCAGCCCCTTGAGCAGATGCATAGCCTCTCAGAGGTGACAGTTGCCACTTTAAAGGATGGTGTTTGCTTTGGATCTGCTACAGAACTAAATCAGTCTTGTTCTGCTGTCTCCAGATGACTGGCTTAAGCTATGTACCTCACAGTTTTGCACATATCATGGGCTCTCTCTAATGTATCTAGGAAAAACAACATGCAGGGAAAGCTACCCTTGAGGATGTGTCACATGCAGGCATGGTTTTTAAGCAACCAAGCAGGTGTGATTTTAAAATTCTACTTCATATTTAATTGTATTTTCTATCTTATATTGTATTTAAAAATTGTGTTTTGAAAGTTCTTGGGCCTACCCCCAAAACATTCAAATGAAACAACTCTGCACCCCTCTCCATATTCTGTTTATCCACAGCCAAGATGAAGGGAGAGCATCATAGGGCTTCATTGTATAGACTGAGTCCTCCGTTGCTAGCTCTCTTCTCAAATGGGACATGCCAGCTAATTTGGCAGAGGTGGATGGCAAGATCCCTGTGTGTGTGTGTGTGTGTGTGTGTGTGTGTGTGTGTGTGTGTGTGTGTGTGTGTGTGTCGCACAATGTCCAAAGGCTATGGGTCCCTCATTGCTGCAATAACACTACCTTGGTTTCTTCCAGCCTGTGTCTCTCTCTGAAGTGGGGAGAATTTTGTGTTTTGTGGGTTGTCTTGTCTCAGTGGGTCTTTGCTTGTTTCTTTCCTTTCTCACACATTCAACTCCTATCACTTGCCAAAACCCTGTTCAGTTCCAACATGAGGTGCTGTTGTGAGTTGGGCACAGGCCTGACTCTGGCAGACCAAAGTGAAAGACCTCCACAGTAGGCACCCGCTCAGCTCAATCACTGCCTGCTGGACAGAGCTCTCTGTGTAGAAAGGGAGGGAGACATTTTGAGGGCCCTGGGGGCGGGGGTGAGAAGAGTTTGTGCACAGCATCAGAGCCCCTGATTGCAGCACCCTCTTAACCCCCAAACCTTTGAAAATAGAACATCCATTTATTATGCTCCAAGTTTTTGCCAGCAATTTGGGACAGTTTCTGGCTACGGAACTCTCTTGAGTTTGCAGCCATCAAGGCCCTCACAGACACCTCACATTTCTAGAGAACTGACACCCCCTTAACCACCCCTTCTCCCACCAGTGATCTGCTACTTACCACCCTTCACACCCAGAGAGCTGTGGCATTCCTGCTCTGTAGTTTGCTGGTGCCTTCCAGAAACACCACAGATTCTCCTAAAGCCTGAGGGTCCTGGAAAGATTGCCACACATCCCCACATTTTGCAGATGTGGCAAGCCTTTTTGTAATTCCCAAGGAGATAAAGGATCACAAGAGGCATCAAAAGAACAGTTAGCAGTACCTTCCATGGAAGCCATCAACAGTCTTGACAGAAAGGAGAACATGGGGGAGGTGCCCCCCCTCACAGTCACCCTTCATCCCTCAGGCCAGTCAGTGTGTCCTGTCTTATCCTCCTGTGTAGTGCCTGGGCCAGGGCTACAGGCAGTGTGAGCTCTGAGAATAGCAGACCTACTTTCCTTGTGCCTTCACGTTCAGCCTCACAGAGGTACACTGCCACACTTTCTCCTGCCCCTGTCAGTGGCGCTGCCTGAACGCGCCTGGTTTAGGAAAACGACTTTCCTGATCTATGAGGCCATGTGGAAAGTCTTCACCAAGGGCTTTGTAAAGCACATGGGAGACCATTTTGACATGTCAGTGAACAAGCTTCCACTGAAGTGGATAAACCAGAGAGAGGCAGAGGTGAGGATGGCGGTACCCAAGGGGTTCTCCAGAAGAGAAGGAAGGGGCATCTTTAGGTTCCAGGTGGGTCTCCCTGTTCTGCAACCACTCTGCCCAAAGTGTCAAGGACCTGTGGGACTATTTTAAGTAAAGTATTTGCAATCAGCCCCCACCCTGTTCTCCGTCCTGCTCCGTACTGGACTGTCCTGGTTCATAGTGGAGCACAGTTTCCCAGGGTGGTTCTTGAAACACTTTAGCAGCTGGTTGGGGTGGGGGGATCAAAACAGGTTGCCTGACAATGACAATGACTCACTTGTTGGTGCAAATGTGCATTTTTTTTTTTTAATGTAGTCTTAATGCCAAATCCTATTTAGTCTCCTTTTTTTCTTATATTTTTTGTTTGTTTCTTAAACCAGAGAGAGAATTTGACCCAAATAAACACTGTGGAGTATTGGATCCCGAGACAAAGAAACCTTGCACAAGATCCCTCACCTGCAAGGTATTTCTCTTTCCATAAAAAAAAAAGAAAAAAAAAAAAAAGAAAAGAAAAAAGAAAGAAAGAAAGAAAATACTTCCTGCTCTTGCTGGGGCCTTTGTCAAAATGTTTGCATGCCACTCTCTGCACACCGCAGGGTGTGGAACCTCGACATGACCTCCAGCTGTTCTTTGTAAGGGAAATGCTTTCTTCTCTGTCCACGGTAGCATAGTGTTTGCCTCAAGCTGGCTGGCTTTTTAAGGGGAAGAAGGAGGGGGAGAAAGGAAAAAGGAAAAAAAAAAAAAAAAAAAAAAAAAAAAAAAACCACCCTAGGCTTCCAGTGTTACTTGGGAGGCCAGACAGTAAATTGTATTTATAGGCACTCACAGGCGGTTCTAAAGCCTGCTACGTTTTAATGTATGCAAGAACGGCGGTGGCGGCGTCAGCGCCCAGAAAGGCAGCCCGGAGGGGAGGATGCGGTGCTGCGCCCTGATCTAGCCCCTCTCGGGGTGGCCAGGGGACAGGCGGACTCTAGGCCTCCGCTACTGGGTAGCCTCAAGCCTCAGATTTCCTCTTGTCCTTCCAGTGCCTCTTGGGATCCAGGCTACGGCCCTGTTTGCCTGGGCCTCTGGAGCCTCCCACCCGCACCTGGTTGATTCTAGCTTGCCCTCGCGGGTGCCTTTCATCTGAGGTTGTCCTGGGTTCTGCGCAAGAGCTGTCATCTCATGGCATTTGTCTGGAGGAAGCTTTGGCTTCTTAACACCTGGAGTGTAGGGCATGGTTGCGTTCCGTTCGAGCGGTGTCTGCCTCTCCCGAGCCACAGAACAGGAGCTGTTGCCTTGAAGTTGACTTTTTCAAGCACCTTCAGTTGCCTATGGTTGCAATTTTGGAAATGCAGGCCATGGGGAAGCAGGTGTATGTGCTGATCAAAGAGGCTGTGCTTTCTCATCTCTCTTCTCCGTAGACACACTCGCTGAGCCATCGCAGAGCAGTCCCGGGTAGGAAAAAGCAATTTGACCTCCTCTTGGCGGAACACAAAGCCAAGTCGCGGGAGAAAGAAGTGAAAGAACACCTCCTGACTTCCGCTAGGGAAATACTTCCGAACCCACCCGGACCGGTGCCTGATGCTCTGCAAGGATCTTCCGGGAGCACGGTGGCAGAGCCGAAAGTACCATCCCCACCAAAACCCAGGCCACTCAACTCTGTACTTCCCAGGTAAGTCGGCATGGGCATCGAAGCAGCCCCAGCCCTCACTCAGTCAAGGCACTGCACTGTGCCAGGGGTTTGTATGTGGCCCGCGGGTGCTTTAATGAGAGCTTTTAGTCCAACCTCCCAAGGCTGGGTGAAGTTTAAATAAGATCCTGCGCCAAAGGGGCTCAGCCCGGTGCCTGCCACACAGCACTCAACAGATTTTACTGCTGTAGTCACTCTTGCCAGCCTTCCTAGCAGACCTTACCCAGACAGTGTGTGTTTACAGAGCAAGAGTGAGCTGGAAATAAACACCCACCGGAGACTGGCACTTCAGCCACCTGGCAGCTTCCTGTCTGCTTGGGTTTTATGGGGGAAGCCTGGGTAGAGAAGTAGTTAGAACAACTTATAAGCTTCCAGGACCACTCTTGCCCACTTGTCACAATTTCTTATGACTTATTTTCACAACTCCCCCGAGGTCTGGATGAAGGAAGGGGGAGGTCGGTGGTGTTGAGGGCCAGCCACCTGTTTCAGTTTCATTTGGTTGCACTGAATGGAAAGGAAAGATCAGGAAACAGAATCACGATCCGTTTGGATTAAAAGCAGTTTAAGATCTGTTTGTTTTGATGGGCAGGAGACCAATTGTCAGGTAACAGGGACCAGAACTAACTACATGTATTGAAAAGTGTTTATGGAGGACTCCATCCTCAGGCAAAGTGCTGTCGGACTAGGGGGAAAAATGCAACCAGACCCTGCTTTCCAAAAGCATAGAGTTCGGAAAGCAAGACTCAAATGTTCATGCTCGGTATAAAAAGGAAATAATACTATTCACCAAGCATACAAATAGTGGTAATCTGATTCTTTTTTTTTTTTTTTTTTTTTTCTTTTTTAATGCATGAATCCCAAAGGGTCATTGTTCAACCAGCAAGTAAGCTTTCAAAGAACATCATTAGAAAAGAGCAGGGAGTTAGTTGGCTTTTAAAGCAAAATTCTCACGCCTTTAATCCCAGCATGCAGGAGGCAGAGACAGACCCATTTCTGTGAGCTGGAGACTAGTCTGGTCTATAGAGTAAGTTCCGAGACAGCCAGGGCTACACAGAAAAAAAACCTGTTTCTTTGGTAGCAGCTGCTCATGATCTTCTACCTGTTGCTGTTTGAGAGAAAATGGAATCACTCTCACAACAGTCCCTCTGTAGTGTGGTTAAGCCTGGCCCCAGGCAGCCTTAACAGTTAACTTAAGCTCCCAAAATAGCTGCTACCACTTCAGTTTCCATCACTGTAGATGCTCTTATTGACGAAACCCCTTCCTATGCATGATCGTTTTATAATTACTTCTCACTGTGATGCCAGGTATCGGTCAAAGGTGTTACCCTTGTTTTAGAGTGGAGAAGACAATTCCATTCCAAAATCACGGGCTTCAACTGTGTAAGCAGCAGGTCCCCTTTCGCCACCACCCCTTGTAGATGCTTGGAACTTCAGATAAAAACCAAACTCTGTATATTCTATGTTTCTTTCTATACATGTATTCCTATGATAAAATTTAATTTGTAAATTGGACACTTAATAACAAAACAAAATAGGATGATTATAAAAATATATTGTAATAAAATTATCAGCATTACCAATCTTGCCCTTTGGAACCATGGTTAAATAAAGCAAAGGTTACTTGAATTCATATACTGCCATCCTGTTGCAGTTGGCCCGAAAATGACTAATGGGAGCAACATATAAAGCATGGATATGTTAACAACTGATGACTCATACCCTGGATGGGACAGAGTGGGGCCACCCAAAATTTCCCTGTACTCCTCAGAAAACTACCTGTGCTAGGAACTTAGGAACTACTTATGCATACAATTTTCTATTTAATATTTTAGACCTCATTTGACCATGAGTGTCTGAGACTGGAAAAGTGAAATCATGAAATCATGGGTAAGGGCAGACTATGTAGACTGACTTTGTAGCTCTTGAACATTTTTTTTTTCTTCAATAAAACTCACCCTTCCACAATACCTGATACTGGCAGATTGACCTCTATCTGAAACCACCCAGAGCCATTATTCCCCAGAGGAATCATGGTGGATCCTCCAAGGATTCCCCAAGCAAAACCAGTTTGATAGCTCTTAGTGTGTGTGTGTGTGTGTGTGTGTGTGTGTGTGTGTGTCGGGGGTGAGGGGCTGAGATGGGGGTCTCATGTAGCTCAGGCTGACTTCAAAATCTCTACAGAGACAACAAGGCTAACCATAAACTCCTTATGGTCCTGCTTTAGCCTTCTGAGTGCTGATCACAGGCAGATGTCCTTTGAAGTCTGACTTAGTCGACTCTTTCATTAAACATTTCTCCAACAATTTCTAGCTGATGTAGGCTCTGCTTTACCAGTGTTTCTGAGTTAACAGAGAAGTAAGAGATGGCTGCTAAAAATAGCACAGGCAGGGAAGCCCCAAAAGTCTTCTCAGTTTTGTTCCTTGTGCTGTGAGTTTTAGGAGAATGTCCACTTGCAGGAAACAGCAGGTGCTTATGTTTTCTTTGGGAAGCAGGAGACCTGGATAAGCTTCATTCTGAAACAAATGTCTTACAAAGAAAAGAAGCACAACTTCAGGACAAGTCTTAGTAGAATTCTGTAGCGTCATTCTGTAGAATTTAACATCACAATCACACAAAACCTCCAAGAGCACTCATTTACTCCTATTAATGGCACACTGTGTGTGTGTATGTATGTGTGTGCAATAGATATTCTATCAGTAATAACAAGTAAAGATAAAGATAGATACCACACATAAATGGATTTTTTTTTTTTTTGAGACAGGGTTTCTCTGTGTAATAAACCTGGCTGTCCTGGAACTCACTTTTGTAGACCACACTGGCTTTGTACTCACGGAGTTCTCTGTCTCCTGGGTGTTGGGATTAAAGATGAACACAATCATTGCCAGGCTTGAATGAAAATTTTATAATTGTTTCCAATCACAGACAATGGTAACACATATGACTTCTTATACATCTTTTTGATGACCTTAACTGCAACCCATTCTTGTGAAGGATTGGTGGGTCTAGACTTTGAAAATCATAAATTAAGTTGGGGTTGACGGTGTACACCTGTAGTCTCAGTAATCAAAAGGATATCACAAACTTAACACCAGCCTGGACTACATTGTGAATTACAGCTTAAATTAGATAACAAGAGTTGCAACAGGATTGACGCAGAACCCTCACCTCCATGCTTTCTGACTAGATAAGTTTAGCCATGGCTCCAATTCCCTCCAGCCTCAGACTGCCCAGCTATAAAATGGAGCCAATACAAATTTAGTGATGGGACCCAAGAGATGACTCGGTGGCGAAGGGCACCTACTGCTGTTCTTTTTGTTTGTTTGTTTGTTTGTTTTGAGACAAGGTACTGCATACTTTCTATGTAGTTCTGGCTGTCCTAGAACTCATTCTGTAGTCCAGGTTGGCCTTGAACTCACAGAGCTCTACCTGCCACTGTCTCCTGATTACTGGGATGAAAGGCCAGTGCCACCACATCTAGTGGCACTTAGTGCTCTTGCAGAGGACCAGGATTCAGTTTTCAGCACCCACCTGGCAGCATACAGCCACTGTGACTCTGATTTCTGATTCCAGGGGATCTGCTGCCCTCTCCTGGCCCCTAAGAATACCAGTCACACATGTGGTGTACATAAGCAAATACTCCCCAGCTGTGGTCATTTTGTGTTGCTGTTTAAAAAAAAAAAAAAAAAAAATCACCTGACTCTGGGCAATGTGTAAAGGCTATAAAGGAAAGAGGTTTATCTGGCTCACAGTTCTGGTGGCTAGGAAGTCCAAGCGGCATGGCACCAGCCTCTCATAGCGCCTCTCTGCTGAATTATACATGAAGGAGCATCAGAAAGGAAAACACATGTGTGAGCGAAGGAATGAAACCAGAGAGCAGTCAGACTCCCTCTTGTATATGAAGGTTGGTGCCTTTGTCACCTAGTTACCTCCCTTTTACTACAACTTGAAGGGCCCACCACTACAACACCACTACCTTGGGAGCCAAGGTGGCAGGATGTGAGCCTTTGGGAAAAGTCCTTATCCCAATTATAACACACAATCATTGACTCCTTTTCTTTGTCCTTTACTGTAAGGGAACACAGAGAGCCAAGGTTATAGGTCCCAGCCCAGCCAAATGCATCCAAACTCTATAGGACAGGACAGGGAAGGGAGGGGAGGGGAGGAGAGGAGAGGAAAGGAGAGGAGAGGGGAGGGGAGGGGAGGGGAGGGGAGGGGAGAGGAGAGGAGAGGAGAGGACAGTCTACCTGGGTTGTGATGGGTCAGGTTACATCTCCAAGTGGGAGATAGGTTGTGGAAACCAGAGCCAATGAAGCGTGGGTATTGCCCTGGATATATTGCACGCATCCAGACTAAAGCTTAAACTGGCCAATGCCCATGGGTCTTACAATGCCAAAGGTGATGTGGAAACAGGAAGAAGGTCCTAGATGCTGAGTGAGGCTAGGGATATGTCTGGAGTTACACTGGGAGAGCCTTTTTGGCACATTGCACACATTTGTTGTCCTTGACTTCTGTATCCGTGACTTCTCATTCTGGAGGTTTGAAGCCAACAGACTGATGCAGGTGGTCTCATTCCCTCCTTTTGTTTTTGCTTGTTGTAGTTTTTAAAGATTTGTTTTTTACCTATTTTTTTTGTTGTTGTTGTTTATTAGGGTGTGTGTGTGTGTGTGTGTATGCGTGTGTGTGCGCGCGCGCACGTGAAATACTGGTCCTGGGACTTGAATTCAGGTTCTCTGAAAGATCAAGTGCTGTTAATTGTAAGCCATCTCACCAGTTCCATTTGCTTTTGTTTTGGGGGAAGGAAACAGGAGCTTGCTATATGGCCCAGGTTAGCCTCAAATTTACTATGTACTCTAGGCCTCAAATTTTTAAGTCTTAGGCAGAGGCAGGTGTATTGCGGTTTAATAAGGATCAGGATAAACAATCAGGCCAAACAGATGTTTATTCAGGGAGAAATAACTCACAACATAGACAGGTAAACACCA